TCCCCCCCCCCCCCCCCCCCCCACTGATGAGCCCCACCACTGTAGTGTTGTCTGCAAATTTGACTATGGCGTTACTGTGGTGTGCAGGGGTGCAGTCATGTGTGTAGAGAACATAAAGCAGGGGGCTCGACACACAGCCCTGGGGGCTCCCATGTTGCGGCTGAGGGCCATGGATGTGTGACGGCCCATTCGAACCTCTGACTGCAGTTGGATGCCCCCCTTGGGAGGTTTATCAGATATGTTGAACTGGGAGGAGACTCTGGGGAAGACCCATGGCACGCTGGAGAGTCAATGTCTTATCAGTTGGCCTGGGAACGCCTTGGTGTCCTCCCAGAAGAGGTGGCTGTCAAAAGAGATGTCTGGGCCTCCCTGCTCAAGCTGCTGCCCCCAAGACCTGACTCTGGAACAAACAGAAGACGATGGATGGATCTTATTTTATGTTATTCAAACGGAACAGAATTTTTTAAAAGTCAAATTCAATCAATACGACAGAGCAGATATTTAAGGGATAGTCAGTGTATTCTGTTCTTGTTCTGTCAAGTAATTGTGAATAATTAGTACCTTGTATTTGTGACATCAGTCTAAGAGCACAGAGTAAAGGACAGCATTCTTCATCCAGACTAGGCCAGCAATCCACTTGATCAGCCCGTCTAGTCATTGCATCACTTCAAATATGACCAGGCTACCCTTTTAAAGATTTGATCACTTCTTGTTCTTTCGGCTACTCTCTTCTTCAGGTGTTACCACAATGAGTTAACATACATAAAAGATTTGGCAATTGTTTTATGATAGATTTCCTTCCTGATGCAACCTGGACTCTAACCTCCTAGGACCTGACATCCACATATGTGGACAACCTGGTATCCACATACGCAAGAGTTCGGGTCTTAGGAGGCTAATCTGCAGCCTCAAGTTTACAAGACTCCAACACTGACCACTGAGCTACCACAACACCAGTTTGTAAATAAAAGCAATTTACTCTTTTTGAATAAAGTTCAGGTTGAAATTTATATCAGGATATGTAACCGACTCTACTAGTTACCACAAATCAGTATACATTAAGGCAAATGTCTTAAAATAAACAGCTACATGAGCGTTATGTTCAGTTCCCAACCTGTTTGTTTTCTATTCTGAACGACAAATTAAAGCAGCAGTTTTCTTCTTAAAGCTGGTGAGGTGGGCACTTTGGACCCCTCCCTGCATTCCTGCAGGCTGGTTTGTGGGCTCTAAGCGAGGTGTTTGGGGTCGGGATCTGTTCTGTGTCCCTCTATTTGTTTAAGTTTGTCAAAGTGTGTGCAGATTGCCACGCTCCCATCTGTACTGACTGCCCATGTGAGTCTGATTCAGACGTGTGCTCCAGATCTGAGCACAAGTCAGATCAGGTTTCTCAGATAAACCGAACACACCTGTTGCTTTGTGAGCCATGTTGACAAGGACAGCAGGAGACCTACAGCACATTAATATGGTGTCACTGGTCGATCCGCTTACAGGTATATGTTTAAATTTTGATTTAAAAGATGAACACTACGGGATCTTTTCCAGACAAGATGCAAAAGAATTAACATCCCCTGTGTGTCCTTTGAGCCTACAATACAAATCGAACCCCACATGTGGGAACAATCTTGTTCCCTTTTCTCTAATATTTTGTTATAATTCCTAAATCAATCTCAATAAATTTCCTAGCATCATCAGACAAGAAAAAAAACTTTTTCAGGCAATGGTTTGGATTTAAGAAGGCACCTTTAATGCTGTATGTAGAAAGTGTGTAAAACAGCCTTTTGTTCTCTTAATTAATGTGTAAAAAAGCAACCAAAAAAAAAAAAGTTTCACATGGCAATTTGAGCAACTAGACACAATCCCCACTCCCAAAAACACTTTTTCACCAAAGAAAACTTTTTTAAAAAATAAATATTTATTTTTTTATAAATATTTATAAACATTCGCCCCACTCTGGGCCCAAGAGCAAGGCCCTTAACCCCCATCTGCTCCTTAAACAGGTCTCTCTTGAAAATGAGTTTGCGTGGCTCAATGAGACTACCTGTATAAATAAAGGCTAAATGAAAAAGAAATTTAACAATCCTACTTGTTTTTAAACCTTAGAATTTCCTGTAAAATTTGGCTCAAAAAGTTTTTGTACTGTCTTTGCACAGTATAAATAATACTGTTGATATTAGAGCCCAACCGATTTGTACATTTTTTTGTTATCATCGATACCAATATTGAGCGGGACCGGCGGCCACCAATAAATGATATAATGGCCAAAAGTTTTTGAGTTTTGTCCACCCCCAAGAATGTAAGTAAATTGCGAATGGGGCAGGGCTTGTTTATTTGGCACGGCTGTTAGCAACCATGATGCTAAGCTAATCAGATCCACACTATACGTAGTTCCACAGTAGGTGGTGGACCAGTGGTGCACTGGTCACAGTCTTCCTAACTTGCATTCACATTTTCTATCCTCCACTATTCACCATAAAGTTTTCAAGTGCGTTACAAAAATATAAATTAAACAAACACCTTCCCTGTTCATTGTTTAAACAGTCAGTCATGTATGGTGAAAGTCTAATTAGTATTGATCGCAGCAGAGGTTGTTTTTTTTTTTGTTTTTTTTCAGAGGTTAAGATTTCAGATAAACAATGTATTTCATTGAGGATGACAAAGATAACATTACTAACACTGATATATTTTACTGCTACATTAGATTTATTGTTCTGGATAAAGTTTTACAAGGCAGTAGCCTATGCTAGGTTATCTAAATGTTAGCTTGCTAACTTGAGAGGCATGTAGCTAATGACAAGACTGGTGGAAGATAATATATTATTGTTGATTTGTTTTACAGATAAGTTAAAATAAACTTATGCTCTATTCAACAAAATATGCTACACAGTATTGCTCCCTGCTTTGTCTGTTTTGAAAGTGAAAATGAAACTTAAGTGAACAGCCATGACTTGAAAGTAATCTTCATGCGCCCTCTGCTGAATAATACATTGTACAATTAAGGCTGGTTCCTGCATTTCAGGGGTGAAAATTTGAAGTGCTTATATTGGCGCATGATGGGACAATTATAACTGATACTGATGGCTCCCCAAATGTCTATTTCAGACTAAAATATCGGCCCTACCGATATATCGGCTGGGCTCTAGTTAATATAGGTCATAGTGGTTAATAGATTTTATTTTGCTATGCTAATTACCTTAGCATTTGAGAAATTAGTTGTTGATTTAATATGACAAATCCATCATAACATATTAAACCCTATCTAACAAATTATGTGTAATTATTTTTAATCTGTAAAAGAACATGGGTGCAAAACAACATTTCCCTTTGTATATATTTCTATTGTATCTTTTAGGTAATGCTAAGCTAGGTTAACTGACCACTAACACAATGCAGTAATATATAAAATTATTATTCAAAATTGGTAAGAAATTATTACTATCTATACACAACATTGAGGTTCGTTAAGAATTGTTATCATTTAGCTGGTAGCCTGCTGGTCTAATACTGTATATTGAAACCCATTACAGCTCATCAAATTTCATATCTAACAGACTCATATTTTGTTAAATTTGAAAGTAAAACAATACATTTTCAAGGAAATATTGCTATTATATATTTTCTTTTGTGACGTTAAGCTATGCTAAGCTAACAGCTGCTAGTTCATGCTACATTTAAGTAGCATATTACAACAATGAATAACATATCATTAAACTTAGACTCATTTACAGAATTGTCTTGAGTTCTGGTGATTAACTTATTATTTTAGCTATTAACTAATATGTCAACATTTATTGCAGCACATCTGAATTCTAAAATATTGTATGTGATTTTTTTTAGTTTGTACAAGAACTTCAATGTAAAAACAAAATTTTAACTATAGTTTATGCCTTTTGTATCTTTAGCCAATCTTAACTAACAGCTGCTTTGTTTACCTAGCATATATAAAAAATACATAAAATTATTGTTCTGTATTACCAAAAGTCAAAATTGTCAAAATATCAACATGTACTTAAATTAGTTTTAAAAAAATTTATCATTTTTTGCTGACGCTAAACTAGGCTAAGCTAGCAAGCAGCTAGTTTTTGCTTCATTTAGCATATTAAAATAATACACAGCATTCTTTAAAAAAGTTCCAGAAATTATTATGGTCATCATATTTATGTTAGGTCTCAGATTTTATTTTGTTTTACGATAATTAACGTAGCATTTAAGTAATGGCTTGTTGAGCTAACGCTGTATGTCAAAAATTTATGGGGGCCGAGATGGTGTAGAGGCAGGGCAGCCGGCTTGGGACCCGAAAGTCCAGGTTCGATCCCCAGTCACTGCACATCACGTGGTGTCTCTGGGCAGCACACCTCATCCCCAAAATGCCCCCCATGTGCTCTCAATAGCTGCCCACTGCACCACCTGGTGGTGGATGGGTTAAATGCAGAGACTAATTTCGCCATTGTATGGAAACATACAGTGCTGACATTGTGATGACATTATTATTAATTGCAACACATCTAAATTTGATTTTTGTTTATAATGTTCATCTTTTTTATATTTTCTCTGTCTTTTTCTTCACCAGATGGCTTTTTGAGACCCGTCTGATGTCTTTCTCAGCAGATGCTTTTGCCAATATGCTCAACATCTCAAGAATGTGAGTGTTTTTATACTTTCTTGTATGTTAGGTGTTTTTATTCATCTGTTGGTTTCAGATCTAGTTAAGCTCCAGACTTCCCTCTTTTCCATTTTTGTCCCCCACCCAAGCAGACTATACATTCTCTGTTTAGTATCACGGCTTTAATCTCAGCTGAGCTTTCCTTCAGGTGGAATGCTGCGGTGCTTGAACCGCAGCCGGGCTGAGACACCGGCTGGATACTGAGTAGTGATTTTTAGAGTCTCGGCAGAGGTGGAGTCTCTGTGTTGAAGTAAAAGATACTCCTGAGTGTTGATCCTCATCTGCTTTTTCCACCAAATCATGCATGAGGGGCGATGAACTTGGACAAAAAGTTTTTTTGTGAGTCTCAAGTGCACATAGCTATTGTTTCTGCTTGTTCTTTGTCTGCTTTCCAGCTGAAACAAACATTACAGAAAATCAGCGATGGACATGTTTATTGAGGGAATCATTTGGATTATATATTGAGTAGAGCCCAACCAGTGTGGAAGTTTTGGCTTTCGCTGATACCGATATTGGACGGGGAAGGCGACCGCCAATAACCAATATAATGACTGAAAATTTTTAGCTTTGCCCACCCCCAAGAATCTAAGTAAACATCGAATGGAGCAGGGCTTGTTTATTTAGCACAGCTATTAGCAACCGCAATGCTAAGCTAATCAGATCCACCTATACGAAGACCCACTTTACCAGTGGTGCACTATAAAAACAGTCTTCCTAACGTGCGTTCACATTTTCTATCCTCCACTATTCACCATAAAGTTATCAAATGTGTTGCATAAATATAAATTAAACAAAGAAACACCCTTTCCTGTTCATTGTTTAAAGTCATTCACATATGGTGAAGGCCTAATTATTATTGACCACAGCGGTGTTTATTTTTTAATTTTTGGAAAAGAAATTAAGATTTTGGACAAAGTGTTTTATTGAGGATGACAAAGATAACGTTACTAATATTGTACCTCTGTTAGATTTATTGTTCTGGATAAAGTTTTACAAGCCAATGGCCTATGCTAGGTTATCTAAACGTTAGCTTGCTAACTTGTGAGGCATGTAGCTAATGACAAGCAGGATGGAGGATTGTAGAGTCTATTGTTGATTTGTTTTACATTTACAATAAACTTGCCATGCTCTGTACAGCAAAATATGCTGCACAGTACTGCTCCCTGCTTCGGCTGTGCTGAGAGTGAAACTTAAGTAAACGGCCATGACTTGAAAGTGGTCTTCATGCTCCTTCTGCTGGATACTTTGTACAATTACAGCTGGTTCCAGCATTTTAGGGGTGAAAATTAGAAATGTTTATATCGGTGCATAATGGGACGATTATCCCAGACAGATTCGATAGGTCCATAAAATTCTATATCGGCCTAAAATATCGGCCCTACTGATATATTGGTCGGGCGCTAAAGTTTAGTATTATTTATCTATTTAAATAGGTCTTAAGACTGACATAGTGTTCATTTGAAAGTGTGTAGATTTAGTTGGATATTTCTTAATTTATTATTATTTTTTATAGATATTTATCTGTGGATGTGAGGCTACAGAGGCTGGAGAGACACTCGTTTTACAACCTGAAGAAAATCACCCATATGTGAGTAACTAAAAGACGAAACTCTTTTTACTGAGCTTAGTTTAATTAAAGTTTAGTTTAATTAACAACAATTAAAATGCTTAGTTTTGAATAATGCAAGCAGCATTGAAACTCATTAAAAGCGTACATGTATTTCTTTTTTTCAGGGCTTTCCTGTGAACCGTGTGAGATTAATAAGTTTGGTTTAAGAAACCGTTTCCTTCATTTACTTCACTCTTCAGTACTTTGTATTATCTTTAAGTTCAGTCTTAGAGACATTTAACAGGAGAGAAGTTAATATTCATCGTCTAGCACATTTTTTGTGTTCTTAATGGAGGAACAGAAATTTATGTCGGTTTTCTGCTGAACCATAAAACCTGAATACCTTCTGGCCCTCCATGTATTACAGGAAAATATTTGTTCTAAGTTTCAGCACTTTGTAAAACATTTATTGGTGTGTAGAGACGGTAACTACGAAACACGCCTGCAGAAATTACTTGAATCACATTTTTCGAGTCTCATTTCCATCTTAATGATCTTAGCTGCTGAATTCCTCGTGCCGTGATTACAGACACGAGCACTAATTGAAACCGCCAGCCGAGGGTCGTATTCATGTTCTGGGGCGGGTGTTTCTGATCTCTGGGGCTTATTTGCCACTGATTGGTGCAGAGTGGTGCCGCACCACAGATAATGGCGTCTCTCAGGTTTCCTTCAGGGTCAGACATGAATTAATGTTCAGCTTCCTGCCGGCGGCTTGAGGCAGACAGCAGCTGTGGATCAGACTGTAAAGTAAAGAGGGGGGGGGGGGTGAATTGTGCCACCATCAGTTTAAACCAGAAAATCAAACAATTATTAGGTTTTTAGCATTTTTGCAATTCTGTTTAGGTGTTATATTTAGATCTTGAATTGTTTTTTAATAGAATTTCCTGCATCCTGTTTATTTCTTTCCTGTCCTGGATCAGAGCACCTCGGTCAGATAAATAAAAAAAAATAAAGAAAGAAAAACAGACATAATAAGTAATAAAAATTGTTTTGTAGGAAAACAAGCTTCACACAGTTGTCTGCTGATCTTGTCCACTTCTCTTAGTTACATTTGATTCCACTGCTTTAAGCTTTCCTCTTTAAAATATAATTTACATCATCAACCTGGATTTCTAAAACTTTTTTTTCTAAACCAGATTAGTTTTTATATTTCACTGTAAATGTATGACTTTGATTCATGTTATTAGGAGTTATTTTTGACTGACTGCACAGAGATAAATTTAAAAAAGATGGGAAATAGAGGAAGCAGAAGAAGAATATTGATGATTTATACCTGTACTCTCTACACCTGAATAAATTCAGGACTAGTTCAGATGTTTTGAAGTGAAGTTCTGTAGAAAGTATCAAACAATATCTTACCTGTTCTAGATAACTTTTTGAAAGAGCAGTTTAGAGAAAAAGAGTTGGATTCATACTGGAGTGATGAGCTTATGGCTAGTCTGAGTGGGGCCAAGACCAAAGAACTGCTGCTGCATAAAAAATCCATTCATCCTTCATCCATCCTCCATCCATCCATCTATCATCCATCCATCCATTGTTTTTACCCATTTCTTCCTTTTCCGGTCACGGGGGTCACTGGTGCTCATGTCCAGCTATCACTGTGCGAGAGACGGGGGACACCTGGACAGGTCTCCAGTCCATCACAGGGACACATAGAGACAAACACCCATTCACTCTCTCACTCTCACCTAGAGACAGTTTAGAGTTACCAATCAGCCTAACATGCATGTTTTTGGTCTGTGGGAGGAAACTGGAGTACCTGGAGAAAACCCACGCATGCACGAAGAGAACATGCAAACTCCACCCAGAAAGGTCCCAGGCCTGGATTCAGTCAGGCAACCTTCTTGCTGAGTTGCAGCGGCTGTATCAATTGAGCCACCGTGCTGCCACATTTACACCCATTAATTTAAAATTACGCGTTATTCCAGGCAAAATATTGTGATATGTTGTCAGACGTTCTGCATCTAGCTGCTGCCACTGCCAAGTGCTCTAATAACCATAGAATATTGTGTATATGACTTGTAATGCAGAACTGATGACCATGTTTACAAAACCAGTTTAAAAACTGGTGTTTGTATGAGCTGCTTTAAAAAAATTAACTGCAGTTGTTTGATGACATGCAGCAGTCCACTTTGGACTTTGCCCTGCTCAGACTAGCCATTTGCTCATCAGCGCAGTCAGAATTAAACTATTCCTCCAAACTGATGTCATTTAAAGAGTTATCTACAACAAGTAAGACATTATTTGTTAGTGATTTTTTCCCCTGAACCCTCTTTTAAAAGATCTGATCAGTTGTCCAATTCATAAAAACATCATAATTACTTTTTTCTTTCTGTTTTAAAGCATAATTATGGTGTGTTTTTTATATTCCTCAGTAAGTTTGATTTTACAGAGATGAATCAATACAAAGCACAATCTTAATGAGCAAATAATTTAAGTAACTTATCTGTCAAATCTCATAAACTGCTGATGGAAGAGCTCAGCAGTTCTTTGGCCTGTTTCATAGGAAGTTGATAAATGTCACTGATTCCTTTTTAAGCTTTAGTTTTAAGACAACAGGATAGACAAACATCCACTTACGATGTTTTATAAAGGAGGAAAAGATGTGTAAGGAGGATTCAGGACACGTGGCTTTAGACAGCAGGTGCAATCGTTTAATCTGGACGGAGAACCACAAACAAGATGTGAGTGAAACCCTCCACACAGGCTGCACTCTTACTTTTCTGTCACTCAGTTCCCTCCTCAGGTCTCTGCTGCATCCTCAACGCTCTGAACACTCATGACTTCTCACACTTCAGTCCTTCACTCTTCACTCACTCTATCTGATTCAAGAACTTGAAAACAAAATTGTTTCCCCATGTTTGTGTTTCAGAGAGATTCGAAACACAAAAAATCTGACGTATGTTGACCCAGAAGCCTTTAAACATCTCCCGAACCTCAAGTACTTGTGAGTATTTTTAAAACATGCTCATTTTTTGACTGTTCTATGACTGACACCATGATTCACAAAGCCTGCCGGTGGATTATTCCATCCATCCATTATCTTTACCCACTTCTTCCTTTTTTGGGTCATGGAGGTGTCACTGGTGCCCATATCCAGCTATCACTGAGCAAGAGGTGGGGACACCCTGGGCAGGTCTCCAGTCCATCACAGGGACACCTAGAGACAAATGAGACAAACAACCATTCCCTCTCTCACTCTCACTTAGGGACAATTTAGAGTTATCAATCAGTCTAACATGCATGTTTTTGATTTGTGGGGCCTTTCTGAGGAGAAAAGACGTGAAAATTCACATTTTTTGGTGTGTTTATTTGTCATGAGGTGACACCAAAGTGTGAAGGTGAGAAGATCGCTTTAAGACCGCTAGACTGGCCAATATTTGTCCGTTTTGATAAAGCAGCTTCAGTGTTTATCAGTACAGCTGAGCTAATAAAGTCAGCAGCCAGCTTCAGATTTATAACAGATTTATCAGTGAGAGGTCAGTTTGACCTGAACCCCAGAATGCCTTCAGATCTTATCTTCCATGACATATCATTTTAAACTGGAGCGTTTCACAACTATGCTGATGTTCTCATTGTCCAGATGTTGGACTTGTTTCTACAAATTAGCTTAACTACTGAAACAACAGGTTTTATTGACGCTATCTTGGGCTTTTCAGAGTCCAGAACTTGATGCTTCACCTGTAAACTTGACTGACTTATAACCATTTTGAAATTTAGTTTGTGAGGTACTTTGCTAACAGAAATACAAACATACGGAACAATTTTCACCCTTTCACATTTGATGGCAGGTTATAGCAAGAAGGGTACAGCGAGGTAGCTCATGCTAATCACCCATCAAACTCTTGTGCTTGGGAAATTTTGTGTTCAGGGTAAAAATAAAAGGTTTTGAACGGCATACTGGGTCACTTGTTTGAATTCTGGTTCATTCTGGTTCACTTCGAGTAATGGTCAAAGACCACGAGGAGGGAAAGTGTCAGGAGACAGAGGGAGAAGGGGAAAGTCAAGAATGTAGGATTGAGGGTTGCAACCCTAAATGTGGGGACAGTGACAGGCAAAGGTAGAGAGCTGGTTGACATGATGCAGAGAAGGAAGGTAGATGTTTTGTGTGTCCAAGAGACCAAGTGGAAGGACATCGAGGCTCGCAGCATTGGAGCAGGGTTTAAAGTAGTCCCTCGTTTATTGCGG